AAAGTATTATATCCTCCCCTAATCTCTAGCTGAAACATTGAATGAATAATCTGTATTACTGGGCCCATATTGATAAACTCAGATTGATCCAAGCTCATGTTCCTTGTACCATTATCCCACACCCTTAATAACCACTCTCACACATATTCTTCAGGTTCCTGATTGTAAATATTAGAAAGTTCTAGTAGTTTTTTAGGAGTACAGTGCACTTTTTCCTGGATCAACAATTGAACTTCAAATTTTGGGACTCAGTGTGACTTAAGTCTAGTTATTGGTCTAGTGGCAATAATTAGTGGGGATTGTGTTTCCTGAGAACCTGAAGCGTTATCTTGTCAGGCATCTGCCTCAGACAATGCTTCAGATACAGCCTCAGATGTCATATCATAATGGTAGGGCTAATCCCATCAAGGGGGTCGGGTAGGGATGGTTTTACTGAGAATGGATTAATCTTTTCATATGGGGGGAGTGGTGCTAATGACTGGAGTGGATCAATCGATTTTCATGGCTCAATACTTCCACCTTCTGGATTATTTTCCCATATGTCCCCATCCCAAGTGTCAGTGTCCCATTTCTTTCTGATCAGTGCTTTCACTTTAATATCTGACTCCTTTCTAGGTTGAGAATTAGCTGGCAGCTGGTGTTGTAATTCAGCTACTCATATGATAAAACTCTATTACTGGAAGAGATGCATGACACAAGTAGAAGTTTTGAGGTCATTTATATGCTGTTTGAGCCTTGCTTCTTAAGCTCTCAGTTGGTTTCCTTTAACAGTTTGTTTATTGCAAGAACAAGGGACATCATTGCTCATGTCAGCTGGATTTTGACACAAAGCAGAGAATACCAGAAAGATGTTTACTTGTGTTTCCGTGACTATGACAAGGCTTTGTGAACCATGGTACACTATGGATGACTTTGAGAGGAATTGGAATTCTGGAACACTTCACTGTGCTCATTCAGAATTTGCACAGGGATCAAGAGGCAGTTGTGTGAACAGAACAAGGGAATGTGACATGGCTTAAAATCAGGAAAGGTGTGTGCCAGGTTTATATCATCTTACCATACATGTTCAATCTATATTCTGTGGAAATCATCAGAGAAGTTGGATTATATGAAGACGAGTATGGCATCAGGATTGAAGGAAGGTTTATAAACAATCTGTGGTATGCTGGTGACAAAATTGCTTTCTGACAGTGAGGAGGACTTGAAGATCAAGGATTGTAGCCTTCACTGTGGATTATAACTGAATGTAAGGAAGACCAAAACCCTCACAACTGAACCAATATGTAGCATTATGATAAATGGAGAAAAGGTTGAAGTTGTCAAGAATTTTGCCTTGCTCAGATCCACAATCAACGCTCATGGAAGCAGCAGATAAGAGGTCAAAAAGACACATTGCATTAGGTAAATCTGGTGCAAAGACCTCTTTAGAATATTGGAGCGCAAGGACTAAGGTTATTTGGGGACTAAAGTGAGCCTGCTCCAAGTCATGATATTGTTTATTGCATCATATTCATGGAAAAGTAAGATATTAAATAAGGAAGACCATAGAAGAACAGATACATATTAATTGTGGCGCTGGAGAAGATTATTGAAAGTATCATGGACTGATAAATTGACAAACTGATCTGTATTTGAAGAAGTAAGGCCAGAATTCTCCTTAGAGGCAGGGATGGCAAGACTTCATCTTACATACTATGGACTTATTGTCAGGAGAGACCAGTCCCTGGAGAAGGATATCATGCTTAGTGAAGTGAAGGGGTGGCAAAACAGAGGAAGGGAGGAAGGCCCTCTACTAGATGGATTGACACAGCAGCTGCAATGATGTGCTTGATCATGGGAACAATTGTGAGGACGGCCCAGGACTATACAGTGTTTTGTTCTGTCGTGCATAGCTGTGTCAGAGCCGACTAGGTGGCACCTAATAAGGACAACTATTGCAAGAAGGACCAATCAGCCAGTTTCCATATACTTCTTACACTGACAAAATTGTAGAAAGAGATTACTCAATCTCCCAGAACTTCACTTCTCATCACTATTTTTACCACTTCACACCATCGATTGACAGTCCCCTCTTTACTACTAGTGACAGACTTCTCTGTGTTTACACACACAGAGTTCTCCGTTGCCTCCTGGCCTAATGATCCCTGATCACCAATTTAGAAAACTCATCTTAAAGACTTTATTTCTCTGGAAACACTATTGGTAAAAAATGCATTTTTTTTCCATAGAAGCAAAACCAGTGATGCTTGTATGCGTTGTACATAGAAAGAGATTGACATCAAGAAATGGCACACATGGTTGTAAAAATAGGGACATTGAGTCTGATTCAAGTCAGGTTTCTCCTGACTCGTGGAAGCTGATGAATAGGAAGCAGGAAGATGAAGCAGAGACACCTGTGTTCAGAGGCTGTTGGATGCAGAGGTCCGAAGTTGGTCAACGGAATCCACCATCAGTAGCCCATTGACAGCTCCTGGCCTTGACGGAGGACACAACAGGAGATCAAGGAGATAGATAGATGTAAGGCCCAGCTCTGCAAAAGGAAATGTGCCAAAAAGAGTTTGACTCTGCTCAGTCTCTATTATACAAAAAGTCATGACAACAAGAAGGTGACATTAGGCTGTGATACAGTTGACATGTTGAGCTCCACCCTTACCCTTACCTAGGAGTATCTAGTTGACATAATCTGTAACCATCACAAAGGCCTTTCTCTTTTTCACTGTCCTGTCACTTTACTAAGCATGAGGTACTCCTCCAGGGACTAGTCCATTCTGATAACATATCCCAAGTACATGAGACAAGGTCTTGCCATCCTTGCCTCTAAGGAGCATTGTGGCTGTACATCTTCCAAGACAGATCTGTGTATTATTGTGGCAGTCCACAGTACTTTCAAGATTCCTTGCCAATACCATAGTTCAAATGCATGGATTCTTCTTCAGTCTTCCTTATTCAATGCCCAACTTTCACATGCATAGGAGACAGTTAAAAATACCATGGCTTGGATTAGGCAAACCTTAGTCCTCAAAGTAACATGCTTGTTTTCCAAGATTTTAAAGAGGTCTTGTGTAGCAGATTTCTCTAATACAATGTGTCATTTGATTTCTTGATACATTGCAAGTCAATGTGTATTGATTGTGGGCCATCGATTGTCTGTCAGTTTGTCATAATGTGGTGGCTTGTGTGTTGCTGTCATGTTGAAGGCTATGTTACTGGTATTTAAGAGACCAGCAGGGTCATTCAAATTGAACAGGTTTCAGCAGAGCTTCCAGACTAAGAACAGACTATGAAGAAGGATTAGGCTGTCCACCTCAAAGGAACTTGCCACTGAAAACCCTATGGAGAGCCTCTACACATTGTCAGTTACTAAACACCCAAGGAACAGAAGTAGAGCATTGTCAGAGATGGTGCCTGATGATGGGCCCTTTAGGGCTGAAGGCACTCAAAATATGACTGGGAAAGAGGAGTCTCCTCAAAGTAGAATGGACCATCATGACATGGATGGAGTAAAGAGTGCAGGCGTAAAACCTTCGGTGACCTTCATTTGCTGGTGGGGCATGATTCAAAATGATAAGAAACAGCTACAAACATCAATTGCTAATTGGAACTTGGGATGAACGAAGTTTGAGTCTAGGAACGTTGGAAGTTGTTAAAAATGAAATGGAATGCATAAAAATCCATATTCCAGGCATTGATGAGTTGAAAATGACTGGTGTCGGTCATATTGAATCAGAAAGCCATATGGTTTCCTATGCCACAGTCAAGAGAAATACTATTGCATTCATTGTCAAAAAGGACATTTCAAGATCTTTCATGAAGTGCAATGCTGTCTAAGATAGGATAATGCCTAACGACATACAAGGAAGCAAAAAATAGACAAACTAAATTCTTGCTCCAACATCATCTTTCTCCATCTAAGTTCATGGCAACTTAATGCTCCTAGTTGCACAGGAGACAAACCGTGGACTTATCACTGACTCATCTCTTTCTTGTATTCATTACATATGATCCATCAATATCTTCGTTTCCTAGACCCACTGTAATAGAAAGTGATGGCCTTAAAGAAGCGTTTTGGAAACTTTGAAATCAGGATGCTGAATTGGATGACTCCTTCCTTGAAGGAAATTCCCCAGGCATCTCTTGGTCCCTGGACTTGTAGACAATCCTCACATTGTGCCTGCATGTATTCATATGTCTCTGTCTAATCAGAAGTGATTAGATTTAGAATGGGCCCTACCCAGGTATAATCTAATTAATATAACTTAGAAACCATATTTACAAACATGATTCCATACACAATTATTTGGGTTAAGATTCCCATAATTGGGGGGAGGGGACACAATTTAATCCATAACATTGTGCCCTTTGAACTCCTAAAATTCATGTTCTTTCCACATGTACAACACATCCACCCTATCGCAGTACCCCAAGTCTTGATACATTCCAGCATATACCCTTTGTCCAGATTCTGGATGTGTTCAATCCTTGGGGGTAAATTCTTTTTATCTGTGACAAGGAGGTATGAGAGAGAGGTATGTACATCAACATTGCTCAATGGGCATGCTTCTTCTATGAGGACTTAGTTGATGCCTCACTTAGAGGGCTGCTTGTTTGAATACAAGCTTTTAAGACCCCAGACCCTATGCTAATTCATAGATGGGCACCATTGCTTTCTTCACCACACTTTGCTGGAGAACACCTATTTTCAGTGACCTCTTCATGAAAGCGAGTATAGAGCAGGGCCATGTTAGAAAAACTAATTGTTCATGGATTGCGGCTAGAATTAGGGGGGAGTCCAGAATCCAATCGCTTGCTTATCCATGGGTTATGAATGACTCTGGTTTACTTTAGCAGTCAAATTATGACAAAACTCAAATAAAAGCCAACAACAACAAAAAGCAAAGAGAAACAAACAAAAATTCCTCCACAGCAAAAGACAAAACCGATAAAAAAAAGGAAAATACCGGACTGAGAGGTATAGCTGAGCGACTACAGCCACAAGCGAGATGCCGGTGGCCGTGGGTCCTTATGGGCAGTCCCAGCCAAGCTGCTTCGACTGCGTGAAGATGGGTTTTGTGGTGGGTTGCGCCGTGGGCAAGGCGGTCGGGGTGCTCCTCAGCACCTTTTCCTGTCTCAGGATCAGAATGCGGCGTCGGAAGCTGATGGGCGGCATTGGAAAAACCATGATGCAGAGTGGTGGCACTTTTGGCACATTCATGGCGATTGGGATGGGCATCCGATGCTAACCGATGCAGTGGTTGCCTAGTTTGTCTACCCTCTCCCACCAATTGTAACCCATGTAGTATAATAAAACAGTCTTTGAGTAAAAAAAACAATACTATAAATCATCCCCCTGGGGTATAAGGGGATTGCATTTATAACATCAATAATTTATCCAATGGTATAGAATTTAGGTTAATGTTGATATGAGGAGTTTATGCAAGAGTAGTCCAACTGCCCGCTGCAATCCATTAATTGAGTTGTTGCTTTGTACTAATTTAATTGACTAAGCTCTGTTTACATTGAGCATGGAAGTTCCTGTAACATTTCTTTTTTTTAATCATTTTATTGAGGGTCATACAACTCTTATCACAATCCATACATACATCAATTGTATAAAGCACACTTATATATTTGTTGCCCTCATCATTCTCAAAATTCGCTTTCCGCTTGGGTTCCTGGAATTAGCTCCTCATTTTCCTTTTCCCCTCCCTCTCCCTCCCCACTCCCCTCTCCCTGATGAACCCTTAATAATTTATAAAATATTATTTTATCTTGTCTTACACTGCCCGGTGTCTCCTTTCACTCACCCTTCTGTTGCCCATCCCACAGAGAGGAGGTTATATGTAGATCCTTGTGATCGATTCCCCCTTTCTACCCCCCTTCCCTCCCGGTATCACTACTCTCACCGCTGATCCTGAGGGATTCATCTGTCCTAGATTATCTGTGTTTCTAGTTCCCATCTGTACTGCTGCACATCCTCTGGTCTAACCAGGTTTGCAAGGTAGAATTGGGATCATGATCGTTGGGGGGAGGAAGTGTTTAAGAACTAGAGGAAGGTTGTGAGTTTCATTATTGCTACACTGAACCCTGAGTGACTCATCTCCTCCCCACTACCCCTCTGCAAGGTATGTCCAGTTGTCTACATATGGGCATTGGGTCCCCATCATGCGCTCCCCTCATTCACGATTATATGATTTTTCCCCCTGCTTTTGGTGCTTGAAACCTGATCCCCTCAGCCCTTCACAATCACACATGTTGGTGTGCTCCTTCCATGTGGGCTTTGTTGCTTCTGAGCTAGATGGCCGCTTGTTTACTTTCAAGCCTTTAAGACCCCAGACACTATAGCTCTTGATAGCCTGGCACCATCAACCTTCTTCAGCGCACTTACTTATGCACACATTCGTTTTCAGCGTTTATGTGGGGAAGGTGATCACAAAATGGTGGGTTTTGTTCTTTGTTGTCTGCCACCTGATCCCTTCAACACCTCGTGTTCACACAGGCTTGTGTGGTTCTTCTGTGTGAGCTTTGTTGCTTCTGAGCTAGAGGATCGCTTGTTTGCCTTCAAGCCTTTAAGACCCCAGATGCTATATCTTTTGATACCCAGGCACCATCAGCTTTCTTCATCACATTTGCTTATGCACACGTCTGTCTTCAGCGATCATGTCAGGAAGGTGGGTATCATGAAATGACCATTTAGCTGAGCAAGGTGCTCTTGTATTAAGGGAATACATAATCCCCCATAATCATAAATATATTTACATATGTACATGTCTGTATTTAGGCTTCTATGTATGCCCTTTGCCTCCTACTCCTTTCCTCTATTTCCTTACTTTCCTCCTGTCCCACTACCATGTTCAGCCTTCATTCTGGTTTCAGTAATTCCTCTCAGTTACCTTGCCCTTGGTCACTCCCTACCAGTCCTCCTCTCCCCTCCCTGCCACTGGTTTTGAACCACTCATTGTTCCCTTGTCCCTGGGTGGGCCAACACCTCCTCCTTTCCCCTACCTCCCACACTCTCATGTCCCTCCGGGACCGTTGGTCCCGTTATTTTCTTCGCACATTGTTTGTCATGCCTCTCTTATCTAGGTGGACCTGCAGGTATATTAATATGTGTATAAAATTGGCGATGGCTTTCACAGCATCAAAGTGGCACATAAGAACATGGCTACAACAGCAGCAACACTGACAAGGTAACAAACAAAAAAGCCACTGACCTACAAAATTTAGAAGAAGAAGAAAAGACTGTTAGTAGTTCAAGGTCTGTTTGTTGACCTTTCGGAGTGTTTTCCAGATGAGTCTGATGGGGTGCCACGTCCTGTCACCAAAGTCCATCCGTTATACTCCCTTGTGACCTCCTTGCTCTGCTTCCCCTGCCGCTACATTACACGCCCCCCAGTGTTTTGCTTCAGTGTGGTGAGGTCAGCTCAGTCGCACATCCCACACTGTATCTCCAGTGCTGTCCCGTGTAGGGCCTTGGGTCAGTGCAGGATGTCGCATCTCGCCATGGGGGCGGCTATATGGTCCTCTTTGTACATTGGGCCCTCTGAGCCGGGCTATCGTCCTCTGAGCTTGGTGGGCCCAGGTGTGCTCCACTCCATTCCTCCTCCTTCCATTGCTTCAGCTTCCTTCTGAGTATGGTAGGTTAGTTCCTTTCCCACACCAGACGATCTATTTTTCATTTTCTGTGGCACTCCCTTCCATGGTGGGGGTCTGGCTAATTCTGGTTAGGGCGGGCGTATGGTCCAGTCTCTTCGTGGGTTCCTCCTTCGCGCGTTATGTTCCCCTCCTGGTTTGGCATGTTATGGTGCGGTCGGTATGCACGTTCCAATTCTGTGGGGACACAACCAATACTCTCCCCCTGGGTGGGTTAGTGCCCTGTTCCCCCGTGCCATCAGCTCAGTTTCTCCCCACCCTGCTTCTCCTTCCACCTGCCCGCCTTTCCCTTCTTTATGTTGGACTCTCGTGTACCTCCCTAGGTGTGGCCTGCCCTCCCTCCAACTATCTATGCTTCCGCCCGTTTATTGCGAGATAGGTGTTTAGTCTTCTATTCCTGGCGTGCTGATTTTACTTACCTCAGGGGACTCATGCTATACCTGTCCTTTTGAGTTTGGCTTACCTCGCTTAACATGATTCCTTCCAGCTCTTCCCACGAGGCGACGTGTTTCATGTGACCGTCTGTGCTTTTCAGTGCTGCACAGTACTCCATTGTGTGTATGTGCCAGAGTTTACTAATCCACTCATCTATCGATGGAAACTTAGGCTATTTCCAAGTCTTTGCGATTGTGACTTGTGCTGCAATAAATTTGGAGCGCAGATGACTGGTCGTGTTTTATTTGTTGCTTCCACTGGGTATATGGGTATATATAAGGTAGATCAATTTCTATTTCCTTTAAGTATCTCTAGATTGCTTTCCACAGTGGCTGTACAAATCTACACAACAACCAGCAGTGGAGGAGGGTTCCTACTTCACCACAGCCCCTCCAACGCTTGTTGCTCTCTGATTTGCTGATTTGGGCTATCCTCAGGCGTGTTAGGCAGTATCTCATGGTTGTTTTGATTTGCATTTCTCTTATGCCTAATGACCTGGTACACTTTCTCATATGCTTATTGGCCATATGGGTCTCCTCCCTAGTGAAAGTTCTTTTCAGTTCGTTTTCCCACTTCCTTAGGGGGTTAACTGCTTTCCTCTTTTTGTAGGTCATGATGGTATTGTAGACTTTAGTTATGAGCCCTTTGTCCAATGTGTCATTACTAAAAATCCTCTCCAAGTCTGTGGGTTGTCTTGTCACTCTCTTGGTGAAGTCTTTCGAGGTGCACAGGTGTTTTATTCTTATTAAATCCCAATTGTCGATTTCCAGTTCACCTGTGTGTGTACCCTTCCCTATTGCAGTGAGCCTGTGAGCTCCCTGGGCCAGTGCTCTGGGGGTTAGTCCCAATTCCCTCCTTGATGATCCTGATGGTTTGGGGTTTAACTTCTAGGTCTTTGATCCACCTTGAGTTTATTCTTGTGCATGGGGTGAGGTTTCCAGCACCACTTGTGAAAAAGGGCGTCCGCTTCCTACTTGATGGTTTGGGGACCCTTGTCGAAGATCAGTTGTCTATATGCTGATGGTTTTATTCTTGGGCTTTCTATTCTTTTCCACTGGTCTGAGTGTCTGTGCCAGTACCACGCTGTTTTGAACACTGTAGCTGTGTAATAGGCATTAAAAACAGGTAAGGCTAGTCCTTCAACTGTGTCCTTCTTCTTGAGGAGTTCTCTGCTAATTCTGGGTTTCTTTCCTCTCCATATGAAATTGGTGGTCAGTTTTTCCAATTCTTTGAAGAAGGTTGATGGTATTTGAATTGGTATAGCATTGAACGTTTAAAGTGCTTTAGGTAGGATTGCCATCTTTACTATGTTAAGCCTTACAATCCACGAGCAGGGAATGTTCTTCCATTGGTGGAGGTCGCTTTTTGTTTTCTATAGTAGGGTCTTATAGTTTTCCTTGTATAGGTCTTTAGTATTTTTTGTTAAATATATTCCTAGGTATTTCAGTTTGTTCTTAGCTACTGTGAAGAGCACTTCCTTCTTAATCTCCTCTTCCATGGTCCTGTCCGATGTGTATAGAAAACCCACCGACTTCTGTTTATTGATCTTGTATCCTGCCACTCTTCCATATTCCTCTATCACTGTAAGTACTTCAGCTGTGGAGCTTTTGGGGGTTTCAATGCACAGGATCATGTCATCTGAAAATAGCGATAGTTTCACCTCCTCCTCTCCCATTTGGATCCCTTTGATGTCCTTCCGCTGTCTTATGTTGTTAACCCAGAACCTCCATAACAATATTGAATAGAAGTGGGGACAGGGGGCATCTTTTTCTTGTACCCTTTTTCAGTGGGATTGTTTTGTCTTTTCTCCATTGACTATGATGTTGGCCATTGGCCTTTCATAGATAGCCTGCATCAGCTTGAGGAACATACCTTCCAATCCTATCTTCATGAGTGTCTTGATTAGGAAAAGTGTTTGATGTTGTCAAATGCTTTATCTGCATCTATGGATATTATCATATGGTTTTTATCCTTTTTCTTCTAGATGTGGTGATAATATTGATGGATTTTCGGATGTTAAACCATCTGTACATCCCTATGATGAATCCTACCTGGTCGTGGTGGATGATATGTTTTATATACCTTTGTATTCTATTGGCCAATATTTTGTTAAAGATTTTTGCATCTATGTTCATTAGAGATATTGGTCTGTAAT